TGTTTCGCTTAAGAAGGCCTGCCTCACTCTAAATTATTAAAATATCTTCTGATGTTTTTCTTTTCTACTTTAAACTTTTTTTAGTATTTAGATATTAACCTATTTGGAATTTAAATTTTAGAATATGGGATGAGGTAGAAATTTACTTGTTTTTTCTCTATATACCTGTCTAGTTTCCCCAAAACCATCATTGAATAATCTATACTTCTCTCCTGACTTGCACTGTCATCTTTATTATAAACTACATCCCATACATACTTTGATTTGTGTCTAAGCAGTTTATCTTCCTCCACCGATTTATATATTCCTACATACTATTAGCAGAACTTCATGATATGTTACACTCACAACATCTTCTCAGTTATTTTTATTCAGTTTCTCTTCTAAGTGAACTTCAGAATAACCTTATCAATTCTATAAAAATTTTGGTGAAATTATCAAGATTGCTTTAGATATATGAGTTTATGTGAGGAGAATATACATTTTTATTATATTAAAGCTTCCCAGCCAGAAATGTGGCATATCTATTTATTTCAGTCTTCTTTTATGTCCTTCAGCAGAACTTTATAGATCACATAGGACTTGCATATTTCTTCTTAGGTTTTCCTAGGTATTTTATATTTTATAGCTTTTTGATGGGCTATTATGAATGTATTTTTATTCCATTACATGTTCTTTCTCTTTTTCTTTTTTTTTTTTAAAGAGACAAGAAGATCTTGCACTCTTGCCCAGCCTGGAGTGCAATGGTGCAATCACAGTTCACTGCATCCTTGAACTCCTAGGCTCAAGGGATTCTCCCACGTCAGCATCCCAAGTAGCTGGGACTAGAGTAGCTGGGACTACAGGCATGCACCACCACACCTGGCTAATTTTTTTTTTTTTTTTAGTAGAGACGGGGTTTCACCGGGTTAGCCAGGATGGTCTCGATCTCCTGACCTCGTGATCCGCCCGTCTCGGCCTCCCAACTGGCTAATTTTTTAAATTATTTTTTTTTTGTAAAGACCAGGGCTCACTCACCATCTTGCCCAGGCTGGTCTTGAACTCCTGGGTTCAAGCAATCCTCCTGCCTCAGCCTCCCAAAATGTTGGTATTACATGTGTAAGCCACCATGTCTGGCCTTCGTTACATTTTCCAATTGGTTCTTGCTGATTAAAAAAGAAGGTAATGATCTTTTATGTTGATTCTTGATTAACTAAAATTATTTCTGATAGTTTTTCACCAGGTTCAGAGTTCCTAAAAATATAAATAGCTGTTAATAAGAGTTTGGTTTACTCCTTTCTCTTATTTATTTATTTATTTATTTATTTTGAGATAAGGTCTCCCTCTGTTGCCCAGGCTGGAGTGCAGTGGCACTACTGTGGCTCACTGCAGTCTCGACCTCCCAGGTTCAAGCAATCCTCCCACCTCAGCCTTCTGAGTAGCTGGGACTACAGGTGCCCACCACCATGCCCAGCTACTTTATATTTTTTGTAGAAATGGGTTTTCGCCATGTTGGCCAGGCCTGTCTCGAACTCCTGGCCTCAAGTAATCTGCCTGCCTCAGCCTCCCAAAGTGTTGGGATTACAGGTGTGAGCCACTGCACCTGGCCTCCTTTTCCATATTTATACTCTTAAATTTTTTTCTGGCCTTACTGCATAGCTAGATCTCTAGGACAATAAATATTACCAGTGGTAACTGCCTTGTTTCTGTCTTTAGTGCATATCAATTATTGTAATCTTACTAAAACGGAAACCCCTTCTATACCATCCTAGATAGGTGATCATTCAGCCTCCATTGGGATACTGAGTGACTGCTAACCACCTTACGAAGCTACTTGCTCCATTTTTACCCAGCTCTGTTGGACAGAGCTTCCTCCTTTAATTATTAACATATTCATTTATTCTAAATCACAGCTTATGTTGCCCTCTGTGTCTCCTTGTAGAGATGTTCTTCTTCAGGTGGAGCCTCACCTTTGGAAATAAACACTGTACCTGGCCCCATCCCACTCTCCACCCCCAAGTTTTGGGAGAGAATGGTTTTCTTAGAGAAATGTAGGGAAGCAGCAGCATTAGGGCAAAGGTGTGGTAAAATTCACTCATTCATTCAGCACGTTACTAGGCACCTACTCAGTGCTAGGAACTGGGCATAAAGAGTTAAAAAAAAAAAAAAAGACACAGTCCCTGCCTTGAAAGAGCTATCTAGTTGGGAGTACAGATACATAAAGTAAGATACTGTGTGTGATCTGGGAGCACACATGAAAGAGCAACTGCCTCTGCCCACAGTTGGGGAAGACTTCACATTTGAGCAGGATCTTTTAGGATGAATAGTTAATAAAGGAAAGAAGGGATGAGAGATGGGTTTTCAAACAGCAGAAAAAGAACATGCAGAAACAGAGCCTGAGGAGCAAGGGGCAGGAAAGGTGGAGTGGTGACAAGCCTTGCACTGATGTCTGAGCAGTGGGCTGGAGGCTGCTGGAGGTCCAATCTCCTGTGTCCTTCCTCCAGTGGTGATAGCCCTGCTGTGCATGAGTGGATACCTGATCTGGAGAAACTGGAAGCGGAAGAACACCAAAAGCATGAATTTTGACAACCCAGTCTACAGGAAAACAACAGAAGAAGAAGATGAAGATGAGCTCCATATAGGGAGGACTGCTCAGATTGGCCATGTCTATCCTGCAGTAAGTATTTCTCACTGGGAAAATTCCTACCTTCTGACCATCTTCCCTTCCATCCTTTCTTCTCCTCCCATCCTTTCTTCCTTCCCATCCTTTCTTCCCTCCCTTCCTTCCTTCTGTCCTTCCCTCCCTCCCTTCCTTCCTTCTGTCCTTCCCTCCCTCCCTGTCTTTTTTCTTTCCTTCTTTCCTTCCTTTCCTCCCTCCTTCCCTTCCTCCTTCCTCCCTTCCTGAAACATTTATCGAGAACGTACCATGTATCAGGCACTGTTCTAGGCCCTGGGGAACACAGAAATGCTGGGGTAGGTGGTTAAGGTAAAAAGGTATCAGGACCACCTTGTACTTAGAGGCTTTTCCTGGCAGTAAAAAAGCCAAATGTCTCTTTCTGCTCAGTAAATTTTCAGAACCTTTGGCCTGGAAGGGTAACTGTGGCCATTTAATTCAAATGTATTCATTTCAATACTGTATGCCAGTTATGTGCCAAGCACATTAGATATCAAGTATTCAAAAGTCAATAAGGAATGTGCTTGCTCCCAAGAAGTTGGTAGGGAGTTAGAGATACTAACATACAGTGGTATAATTGTGTGCTGAGTGCCGTGGTGGAAGCTCAGGAGTCCCCTCTTCTAGAAAGCTATCCTTGGCTTGCTTTGTTCTCCCACAGTCCTCCGGGCCTCTCTGCCTTACAGCCCCTATCACACTGTAGTCCACTTGTCTTTTACTCAGTGGTCTCCTCACTAAACCCTAAGATCCTTGAGGGCAGAACTGTCTGATTAATCTGTTTTCCTGATGTCTAGCACAGTATGGCTGACTCCCAACAAATATTTGTTGAATAGATGCTATGGAAACATCAACAAGGGAGCTATGAATTCTGTCTGGAGAATCAGGCAAGGAATGCCTCACAGAGAAGGTGACAGATGGACTATGTCCTTGAAAGATTAATAGCAGTTTTCCCAGGAGAGAAGGAGGGAAATGGCATTCCAGATAGAGGCATGTGCAAAGGCTTAAAGGCACAACACAGCATGGCTTTTTGGGGGAATGAGGACCATGAAGTGGCACAACAGGTGTCACTGTTATACAGCAGAGTCAGGGGGCTGAGTATGACCTCAGAGGTCATCCACAGTGCCATCCCCCTGTCAGGCAATCAGCAGCTTTGATCGCCCACTGTGGGCAGAGCCCTGTCTTGGGGAGACCAGAGAACTGGAAGACCCAGCCCCTGCCCTCAAGGAGCTTTTTGTCTTGCCGGGGGAACCAAGGTCACAGCTGCACCAACTCCCGAAGAACCCTCTTTCCGAGCTGCCTGTCGTCAAGTCCAAGGTAGGGCAGTGCCACTCTAAGTCTGAGGGGCTGGTGAGTGAGGGCATGAACCAAGGCAGGTGCAGCCAATCCTAGAAGGCTTTCTGGTTTGGGAAGGCTGCAAATTGTAAGCTGGGTGTTGGAGCAAAGAAGAAAAATGGGTTAGTCACAGACCAATGAATGGCATGTGGAAGAAAGCGATCAAGTTTGGGGCAGAGCAGACAGAATTGCTGCTGAGGCAAATTGTTCATGAAGGGGAGACATGGGAAATGAGATGGAGCAAATGAGGAGGGTTAGCAGACGGCCTTGAGGATCCTTAACCTCGGCCAGTCCAAAAAAAATAGTTGCTTGACCAATTTTTGAAGATCAGAGGGGGCACAGTGGAAGAAGCACTGAACTTGGAGTAAGAAAATTCCCAGTTCCATCCTTCCACAGCCCTGTGATCTCAGTCACTCCTTTCTGCTCACTGTTATTTGTAAAATGAGAATAATAACCCGCATTCTACTTGCCTCCTGAGTTTATAAAGTACAAGTGAGATAGCACATGTGAGAGCACTTTGTGACTTACAAAGCACTCTGCACATGTAAAATGACATTATTTCCAGAGAAAGAAATGACTCAGGGGGAGTTACTCCTGATGAGTCTAAGGACTGAGTAATAAGCTTCTGCCAGTTGCAGAGAAATAGAGTAGTAGAATGAGGAAATCAACATTTATTGAGCACCTACTGTGTGTCAGACACTGTTCTCAGTGTTTTACATACATTATCTCATTTAATCTTCATAATAACTTTATCAAGCCAATATTATTAGCCCCATTTTGCAGATGAGGAAACTGAGACTCATAGAAATTGAATAACTTGCCTAAGGTCATAGCCAGGAAGTGGCAGAACCAGAATTCAAACTCCAGTCTGTATATACACAAAAGCCCATGCTCTTTCCTTTATATCATGAGGTAAATAGCCTTGAAGCTCTGGAAATCAATATTCTCAACAACCTGTCTCTCCTCTGTTGATTTCTCCGGTAACTGTACCATCACTACTGGGGCCTATCTTTGGCCTAGAGATCTGTCTTGGAGAGAGTGGGAGGGTGGCTGGACTAGAATAAGGTAGTCTCAATTATCTACACTAGTGGAGGATGGCCATTGCATTCATTAAAAAACTACAGATAACCCAAAGATGACTTGAAAGGCAGTAGAGTTACTTTTTATCATATGTAGAATGTCCAGAGATAGGAGATACTAGTCTGATTCTATTTTATGCTGGTTACGTTGACCTAGGATACTCTGGGCCCTATGTGTTGTTAGGTACTACATTAAACACTCTCCATGCATTATCTCATTTGATTCCTCAACAACCCTGTGAGGTAGGTCCTATTACTATTCCCATTTGATAGATGATAAAACTAAGTCTCAGAGAAGTAAACTGGCTGGCCCGAATTCACATAACTATAAGAAAAATACTGAAGCTGGGGAGGGTCTTTCCAAAGGAGGGTATCTGGGAAATGGAAAAGAGGCAAACAAGATTGCATCAGGACTAGATGGGGAAAGTTAGATGTTATCCTGGAGAAGAAAACACTCAGAATGAAGGGAACAGAATTCAAACACCATCTATAAATTTCAAGGGTTGTCCTATGTAGAACTGTCTCTGAGTCTGAGAGATGGAATCAGGGAATGTCAGAAGATATAAACAAACAAATTTCACATTAATATAGAAAAGAATTTAAATCTGTTGTCCACAATGGAATAGACTGGCTCAGGGGTTAGTGAGCTCACCATCTCATGGTCAGCCATTTTTGGCAGACAGGAGTCTAGCATCTACCTAATGACTAGAAAGTAGGGGTGAGGGAGAGAGGGATGGAATTTAATTAACCTGCATTGCCTCCCAATTCTGTTTAATCTGTTGGGAAGGTGCAGTATATTACCTTCCTAAATGTGATTAGCATGCTAGAGACAAGTAACCCCATAGCCTGAAATTTAACATTTGCCAAAGCTAACCCACTGAAATTGACCAAACCTAAAATCCTATAAGGGAGGATTGAGAAAATTTAGATCTGAGCAACTCTTCTTTACAAAGATACAAAACAGAATGATGAAAAAATCTACAGCTTTGGATTCATACAGACCTGGGATCAAATTTTAGTTCAGCCACTTGCTATGTGATCCAGAACAAACCCTACTTAAGCTCATTGAGTTTGTTTTCTCATCTGTAAAATAAATAGGATAAATCTTGTCTCTTGGGAGAGTTTGAAGATTATGTGAGCTAATACCTGTTAAAGTAACATAAGTCTGTACTTTGTCAATAATAAATAGTAACTCTTATGGATCTAACGATGAATTCTTTGGTTTGTCTCCCCAGCGAGTGGCATTAAGCCTTGAAGATGATGGACTACCCTGAGGATGGGATCACCCACTTCGTGCCTCATGGAATTCAGTCCCACCCACTACACTCTGGATGGTGTATGACTGGATGAATGGGTTTCTATATATGGGTCTGTGTGAGTGTATGTGTGTGTGTGATTTTTTTTTAAATTTATGTTGCGGAAAGGTAACCACAAAGTTATGATGAACTGCAAACATCCAAAGGATGTGAGAGTTTTTCTATGTATAATGTTTTATACACTTTTTAACTGGTTGCACTACCCATGAGGAATTCGTGGAATGGCTACTGCTGACTAACATGATGCACATAACCAAATGGGGGCCAATGGCACAGTACCTTACTCATCATTTAAAAAATATATTTACAGAAGATGTTTGGTTGCTGGGGGGACTTTTTTAGGTTTTGGGGGGTTTGTTTTTTGTAAATAAGATGATTATGCTTTGTGGCTATCCATCAACATAAGTAAAAAAAAAAAAAAAAAAAAAACTTCAACTCCCTCCCCCATTTAGATTATTTATTAACATATTTTAAAAATCAGATGAGTTCTATAAATAATTTAGAGAAGCGAGAGTATTTATTTTTGGCATGTTTGGCCCACCACGCAGACTCTGTGTGTGTATATGTGTGTGTTTATATGTGTATGTGTGTGACAGAAAAATCTGTAGAGAAGAGGCACATCTATGGCTACTGTTCAAATACATAAAGATAAATTTATTTTAACACAGTCCACAAGGGGTATATCTTGTAGTTTTCAGAAAAGCCTTTGGAAATCTGGCTCAGAAAACAGATACCATGGTTTGTGCAATTACGTAGTAAAAAAGGCAATCTTTTCACCTCTGGCCATTCCTGCGACCCCAGGAAGTCAGGAAAAGCCTTTCAGCTCACACATGGCTGCTGTGACTCCTACTGGGGCTTTCTTGGCTTTGGCAAAGGTCAGTGTAGAGACATTCCATGGTACCAGAGTGCTCAGAAACTCAAGATAGAATATGCCTCACCCTCAGCTACTCCTTGTTTTAAAGTTCAGCTCTTTGAGTAACTTCTTCAATTTCTTTCAGGACACTTGGGTTGAATTCAGTAAGTTTCCTCTGAAGCACCCTGAAGGGTGCCATCCTTACAGAGCTAAGTGGAGACATTTCCAGAACAGCCCAAGTTTACTATAGAGACTGGCCCAGGCTCTGAACATCTGGGACATGCTGTGGTTGAGAATAAAGATGGTGGAATAGGTTTTATTACACCTCTTATTTCTCTTTTCACCTTACTCTCTACCATTTCCTTTATGTGGGGAAACATTTTAAAGTAATAAATAGGTTACTTACCATCATATGTTCATATAGATGAAACTAATTTTTGGCTTAAGTCAGAACAACTGGCCAAAACTGAAGTCATATTTGAGGGGGGAAATGGCATACACAATATTATAGTATATTGGATATTTATGTTCACACAGGAATTTGGTTTACTGCTTTGTAAATAAAAGGAAAAACTCTGGGTATATGTATAGATGTTCTTCATTATAGACACCTTCTTTGCTTTTCCTGGCCTTGCGGGAGGAAGGGAGAAGTGCTCTTTTCTATTTGTGGGGTCTCCCATTGGAAACATAATCCTATAGTCCCAGAAGGATTCAGTCCCCACTGGCTTTCCCATCCAAAGAGAAAGAGTTTGAGTTTCTTAACTCTGTTGTTCTGCCACTTACTCCCAGTAGACAACCAGGGACAAGGTGCAACATGGAAGTGTTTGACTTAAGTAGGAGCAGAGGAGATGCATCTAATCTCATCATACCTGGAACTTGACACACTTAACCAAATGCCTTCCCATCCCTACCTGCCAGATGCCCCCAACTCAGTGAAGGTTGGATGTCTCACCAGCTTGATACCCTTTGAATTTTCAGTCAGACATTCTGGAGTTCTAGCATCCTGTACCTAGGACCTTCCTCTGCATCACTCTTGGCCTCCTAAACTCTAAGAAAATAACTATATTCTGGAGCTTGGGCACTGTGTTTTGCATAATCCAGCAATCTCCTCATGACATGCATGTGTTGATAGTCCTGAAATATTCCATTGAGAGGGTAAATGCAGTTGACCTAGAATGACCAATACCAAACAGAATTTTAAGAACAGGTGACCAACTCCTATGGAGCTTACTCACATTACCATTCTTTTAAGAACGGAGACTAAAATTATTTTTGACTGAAGAAAAATGATGACAGTGAAAAACATGGAAATTTACTCAAAACAAGTGACTTTTCCTGTAACCTTCTTCCAAAGAAACTGAATTTTCCAAGGAATTAAATTATAACAGTGGATAAGGCATAGTTTCTAAACTTTCGGTCAGATCCTGGCATTCACAGAAAAAAATAATGAATGGGGTCTGGACATACAGCCTGAGATCTCAAAATGATGACGAAATTCACAGCTTTCTCGGAGACATCCATGTTTCTTGCATATGCTATAACTGCAGTTTGAAAGAGGCAGCTATGGGAGCAACCCTTTACAAGAAACAAATTGTGAAATACTCATTTGTTGGACAGCAGTAAACAGATGAAACCTGAGGAGTCAGATCCACCTTCCCCCATTCGCAGAGGCTTTTCAGCCTCATTTTGAGGTGTAGTTACATATCTTTTGCCTTTTGCCCCCTGTGCATAGGTATCTACAGCCAATCATAGATCACAGAGTCACTGGACTATAGAGCTGGAAGGAAGCTCAGAGATAATGCCAAGAGGGCAGAAAATGTATCAGAAGCCAGTCCCAGTGCTTTTCCTCCATTTCCATCTGCAGGAAGACTATTTTGGGCTGCCTGAACGTTGTATCAGACCTGCTACCTATACTATGGTCTACCTCTCCTCCAGTGGAATTACAAAGGCACTAGCTGAAATGCCTTCTAGAAACAGAGAAAATGAAAACTACTTATCTACTTTTGATAGCACGGATTATTTATAAAACAGATTGAAGTAACCCATTAACTGGCAAAAAGAGAATGAGATCGGATTTAAATGTATGGCAGTAAGTCCTATTGATCCCTCCAGTTATCTCAGTATGACTGCAGTATATTCATTCACTAAAACCACTCATTAGATACCAACTACACACCTGGCACTGCAGATGTAAAGGTCAGTCACACATGTTCTGACTTTACAGAGTTCACAGTAGCAGTGGAGGAAGATATATGTGGAAACAAAAAAGGCATCGATTCTATTCAGAGCACTGTTAGGGCACAGTGGAGAGAGGGGTCTTTCTACCTAAGAAGATGAGGAATAGGGTCATCGTAGAAGTGACTTTAAGTCTTAAAATTAAGAAGGGGATTCCAAGCTGCTTCAGGCAGAGACACACCGAGCTAAAACACAGAGGTATGAAACAGCATGGGGACTTTAGGAACTGCACAGTTCATTCTAACAGGAACAAAAGGCTCAAGGGGTCAAGAAATGAGGCTGTATGGAAAGAGGTTCAATGTAAGCACTTTATAAAATAGATTAATTTCTGATTCAATGAAGCATCTCTTGATCATTGTGTACAAGGCACTAAATTCATCATGGAAAATTCATTAGGATGCATTGCCAGCACTTTGCAGACCTGATGTTATTCAGCCTCAAGCTTTCCAGTGGCCAAAGGAAAATGCTGACTGCTTTTCACATATTTGAGTCAAAGATTTTTTTTATATGGTCAACGAAGACTAATACAAGGGCAGTGGGATTTTCACAGAAGCATGCCATGTTGTTGAGAGCCTCTTAGATCTTCTCAACTGTGAGAGAGAAAACTGAAAATTTTGAAGACATTGAGTCTGGAGAGGGGATACCAATCACTGTCCAGTCAGGCGTTGGTGGGAATGGGGAAATGGCACAGGAATGCAAGCCTCTCCACCCTACCCCCGAAACTCCAGCCATACACTCATCATTTCACAAAATATAAATGAGTTAGCATTAAACATTTCAGAGTAAATAATTCCTTTTCCCGAAATGCATGAAGATAGAGTAACAGTCTTCTCACACTGTATTTTTAGGGTATGGAAAATTTAGAAGGTTAAAGAATTACTGCTTCAATTTTTCAGTTAAAAAAAATCAGGAAGCTCTGTTCATTCAGGCTATGCACCATGTGCACAGTCAAGAATTAGCAGAAAACCTCTGCATTTACAAACACTTTGTGCTATAAAAAGTAATTTTTAAAAAGCCACTTGTGTGTGTGTGTGTATATATATATATTTAAAGCCAAGGTTTTGATACTTTTTTACAAGAACTGCAAGAGAAAACAGATACCTGTCCAAACCGTATACTTTTAAAATAGCATTTTTTTTTCCATACAAGCTGTTGTTAATTTGGGGGTAAAATGCTGGTTTGCAAACTTCATCAAATTGTTCCCAAGTGGATTTTCCTTGTTTGTCTTCCCCCACCAACCCTCAAGTTACCATATTCGATGTAAGAATCAGGCATGTTAGAATGTTGTGTCACACTAACCAGTTCTGCTCTTTTTGTCTTTTCATTCAAGTTCCATTAGCTTCTGTACGCGGTGCCCTTTGCAGTCTGGTGTCTCTTCCAGAGGCAAGGGGGCTGAAGATGGCGTGCTGCATCTCACTAGCTGTACTAACATAATCTTGGTAAACTGAAAACCAAATGTGGACATTTGTAAAATCAGTGCACTGTTTCTAGAGAGAGATTAAATTCATTTTTAAAAAATCTTTAAGTATTGTTTCATTGTAATACTTTAATGAGCGGGAGTGAACTGAGTCCCTAATGTGTACCAGTATTCTACATACATTATCTCAATCTTTGTCAACAATTCAGTGAGGTAAATACTATCAATACTATCCACTCCCATTTTATAGATGAGAAAATGGGTGAAGTAACTGCCCAAAGTCACAAGGTTATTTTTAGTGCCCCCTAAGATCAATTGTAACGTAGCATTCTCTGCCTAAATTTTCCTTCTCTGCCTCTATATGACTAACTCCTATTTGTTCTTGAGTACTCCACTTAGGTAATGCCTCCTCCAGGAAGCCTTCCCTTCTCTCTAAGACTAGGTTAGATAACTCACCTCAGTACTTCTATAACAATTTTTGCCTACTTGCATCCCAATACTTCTGCCCTACCATTCATTCCCATGCCATTGGGGTTGCTTTTGCCAAGGTCATCCAGGACCTCCTCGATTATAAATCTGATAAACATTTTCAGTCTTGATCTTTCTTGACCTGGAAGCAGTAGTTAACACTGTTAGCCACTCTTTTCTTGGAATACTCTTATTTTGGCTTCCATGATACCATGTTCGTGGTTTTTCTCCTATCTCTCTGGCCACATCTTCGTCTCCTTTGCCCACCCTTTAAATTATGGTATTCCACTTCAAATCCATGCACTTTTCTATCTCCTTTACTTTTTTTTTTTTTTTTTTTTAAAGAGACAGGGTCGCACTCTGTTACCCAGACTGGAGTACAGTGGTAGGATCATAGCTCACTGCAACCTTAAACTCCTGGGCTTAAAGCAATCCTCCTGCCTCAGCCTCCTGAGTAGCTGGGACTACAGGCACATGCCACAATGCCTGGATAATTATTTTGCTTGCCTTTTTTTTTTTTTTTCTTTTTTTCTTTTTTTGACAAGGTCTCTTTCTCTGTTGCCCAGGCTGGAGTACAACGGCATGATCTCAGCTCACTGCAACCTCCGCCTCTTGGGTTCAAGCAATTATCCTGTCTCAGCCTCCCGAGTAGCTGGGGCTACAGGCGCATGCCACCCTGCCCAGCTAATAGATTACTTTAACTACTTATCTGAATGTCATACGTCTAGTCTTTTCATTTTCCAATCTAACCCACAACACTGCAGCCAAAGTGTCTTTCTAAAGTGCCGTAGATGTATCACCACCACTTATTTCCACTTTCCTGTTTAAAGCCCTTCAACTGCTTTGCTGGCACTAAAATTCAATATTCTTGGGTGTGCCCAAACTCTTTTAATATGGTTTATAAAGCCCTTCATGATTCAGCTTCTGCCCCATCTCCAGCCTCATCACTCACTGCTCTATATTCTAATCATACAGTTCTGGGCCTCTGTCTGGAACATTTCCTTCAGGAACATTTCCTTCAGGAACATTTCCCTAAGGACCCTACACTGTATTAGGAGTCACCTCATGTGCTTCCATAGTACTCTGTGCTTCCTTTACTGGAAATCTTATCCTTACATTGTAATTGCTTGTATGCTCCTTAACTTCCTCCTCTGCAAGCTCTGTAAAGAACTGTCTTGCTCAACATTGTATCCTCTCTCTCTGCACATGACACTCAGTGGATGCTCAATAAATGATGCTGAATGCAGGCACGGCAGACACACACAGACCATGCTCTTTCAGTTACACCACGTCTCATATCCAGAAACCTGGATTACTTTACAGCCTGACTGGAGTTGTGTGTCCTTTAAATTTCTCCCCAGATTCACTTATGATTTTTATAATTTTACTCCTGGAAAATAACCTTGTAGCAATTGCTTAATCCCTCTACACACTTAACTCTAATTACCACCTCAAAATTGTTGTGATGATTCGAAAAACAAGCACAGGTAATCCCATTCAGCCTAGGAGCTGACATTTATTAGGTGCTTGATGGTTCCCTTTTCTCTTTTTTTTTTTTTTTTAGATAGGGTCTTCCTTCGTCACCCAGGCTGGAGTGTAGTGGTGTGATCATGGTTCGCTGCAGCCTTGACCTCCCAGGCTCAAATTATCCTCCTACCTCAGCCTCCCAAGTAGTTGGGACTACAGGTGTGCACCACCACACCTACCTAATTTTTAAATTTTTTGTAGAGACAAAGTCTCCCTATGTTACCCAAGCTGGTCTCAAACTTCTGGGCTCAAGTGATCCTTCTGCCTCAGCCTCCCAAACTGCTGGGATTACAAGTGTGAGCCACTGTGTCTAGCCCCCTTCTCTTTATACAGTTCCCTTGTTACCACCAATATGCGGTGTTTTGTAATAAAAATGTCATGGTTTTATAGCAATTTACAGTTTCCGAGACATTCTTTCTTATAACAGTTCTGCTAGGTGTACGTTTTTATGCTCATTTTAAAGAGAAGGAAACTCTGAAGTCTAAAAAGTTGAGTCAGTTCACCTTTGGTTACAATGAGTCATTGTTAAAACAAAAGATTATTTTAACCAGTGTCCAATGTTTTTTTTCCCCCACCACACCTACTCTACACTCTGCTGCTAATGCTTTTTCAGGGAGAAAAGGACTCATTGTTAAGACTGGGGGCCATGCACGGTGGCTCATGCCTGTAATCCCAGCACTTTGGAAGGCTGAGGTGGATGGATCGCCTGAGGTCAGGAGTTTGAGACCAGCCTGGCCAACATGGTGAAACCCTGTCTCTACTAAAAATACAAAAATTAGCTGGATGTGGTGGCACGTGCCTGTAGTCTCAACTACTTGGGAGGCTAAGGCAGGAGAATCACTTGAACCCAGGAGGTGGAGGTTGCGGTGAACTGAGAACCAGCCGTTGCACTCTAGCCTGGGCAACAAGAGCAAAACTCTGTCTCAAAAAAAAAAAAAAAAAAGACTGGGGGTAGGAATCAGAGATTGCTGTCCCGACTTACAGAATCTTATACTGTTCTAGTTGCCAGGCCCCAAGAATGATGTCATCTCAGCACTGTCTCTAGAACCATTCATTCTCTCTAAGTGTGGAACTTAGACGAGTGAGAGCAGGCTCCTATTAAATAATTATGATCTTGATTGCTCTGGCTCTACTCAACTGTAAATTTTTTCCAGAGCCAGAATGGCTTCACAGAGGACAACTTTGCCCTGAAAAGAGTCTCTTTGGTCAGTGGTCCTCAACTCTGACTCAACTGAGAGCTTTACAAAGAGTACCAATGCCCAGTTCCAGCGCTGGAGATTTTAATTGGCTTGGGGTAGAGCCCTGGCATCAGTATTTTTAGAGGCTCCCCAGGTAATTCCAATGTGCAGCCAGGCTGAGAATCACTGCTCGGTAAGTGGGATGACTGGGGAGTGGGAGATCAAATACTCTAACTTCTCACAGCACCTATTCTAGAGATCAGTGGGGCAGAAAGATAGAAATAAAAGGTGGAAAAGGACGAAATGGGTAAGTGTGGGTGAACTAGTTCCAGGGAAACGGCAATCTCCACTGTGGATTCAGGGAAGGCGTCACTGAGGAGGGCTTTCTTAATAGTTCAGGTCAATGGAAGCCATCTTGAGGCACACACATCGTGCGCGGCATCCTCCGGGAAGGTCGGGTCATTTCACCCCATTTTACTGCCGAGATGACCTAGGTCCAGAGACGGTAAAGAGCGGTGTACGACTCACACAAGTCGGGGGTCCTGTGAACTGAGGTTGAGCCTGGCGGGCGCAAGGCTCGGGGTGTTCGGTCCGAGATCTTTAAGCGAAGTCACCAGACCTCGCGTTCAAAGCCCAGAGGTAGGCAGGCGGCTGGCTCTCGGCCTCAGGCCTGGAGAGAACCCAGCGGGTACCAACCTCAACCTCGCTCCCGCGTCCAGGTGGAGAGGCGGAGCTGTTTGGCCCCGCCTCCGGGTTAAACAAATTCCGTTACCTCCTAGGCGTGAGGGGGTGTGGCAGTCTTGTTGTCACTTCCGGACGAATAGGTTAGCTAGAAGGAACCCCTCCATTACGCGACGGCGTAATCTGACGTCACTTCCGCGCGCCGCCGCAAACGTCAGTGTCGGGCGCAGACCGTAGCAGTGCGGCTTGCTGTTGGAAGTTCAGGCTTGGTTGTCTTTTGGGAGTCATGGAGAGTGACTTTTATCTGCGTTACTACGTGGGGCACAAGGGCAAATTCGGCCACGAGTTCCTGGAGTTTGAGTTCCGACCGGACGGTAAAAGCAGCCTGCCGCCTGCCGGGAGCGGGACCAGGCCTTGGGGCGGGCGAGTGGGGAGGCCGAGGGTCGGAAATCTGTGGGGAACTAGAGGAGGAAGGGGCTGAGACCTGTGCAGTGCGGATCTGAAAGGAGCGCCACTGTGTCTGCTCCACGGCGCCGTTTTATCCATACAACAAACGTTGGCTGAACGCCCACTGTGTGCCAGGCTCTGTTCCACTCTTTGGGGGTACGACAGCGAAGATAGACAAACTTCCTCTCTCGTGGAACTTGTGTTTTACTGCTGGAAGAGAGATCATAAAAAGATGATTCCGGATAGCAGTGAGTGGTCAGAAAATATGGTAGAATAATCGCTGGATGGGCTGCTTTTAGATAGGTTGGCC